CCAGGGAAGGAGGAGGGAGGGAGGAGAACGGATAATGCTGATGTACCAAGGACACAAAGGAGGAGGAGGAGAAGGAGGAGAAGGAGGCGGATGATGATGATGATGATGATGATGATGATGATGATGATGCTGATGATGATGATGATGATGATGATGATGATAACGATGATAATGATGGTGATGATGATGGTGATGATGATTATGATGAGGATGATGATGATGATGATGAGGATGACGATGATGATGAGGCGGAGGAAGATGATGCTGATGGTGGAGGATGACGATGATGATGCTGGTGCTGATGATTACGATGATGATGCAGATTCAGTTGGTGATGACGGCGAGAACGATGGTGATGACTATTACGATGATGATGATGCTGATAATGACGATGCTGCTGATGATGACAACGACAATGACAACGATGACGACGATGATGATGACCATGGTCATGATGTGGATGATAGCAGCGTAGTGGTGATGATGACGATGATGATGATGATGATGATGATGGCGTTGATAATGATGACCATGATCATGCTGATGATGATGATGATGATGATGATCATCATGGGGCTGCTGATGATGGTTAGGATGAGGATGGTGATGCTGGTAGGAGCAGGCTGGTAGTGATAATGCTGCTGCTGATGATGCTGCTGATGATGATGATGATGATGATGATGATGATGATGGTGACGACGACGATGACGATGATGATGACGATGACGATGAGTATGATGAGAATGCTGACCCTGCGGGTGATAACAACGATACTGATGCTGGTGATGACGATGATGACGATGCTGATTATGATTATGATGATGATGATGATGATGTTGTTGTTGTTGTTGTTGTGATGGTGATGATCGTAGGGGAAAGTCGGATGACGATACTGATGCTGATGATACTGATGCTTATGATGAAGATGATGAGGATGATGATGATAATGACGACGATGATGATGAATGTGACGATGATGCTGATGCTGATGTTGATTGTGATGATTATGATGACGATGATGATAATGATGACGACGATGATGATGATGCTGATTATGCTGATGATGCTGATGATGCTGCTGCTGATGATGATGACGGTGATGGTGATAGTGATGATGATGATGATGATAATAATTATGATGATGATGATGATGATGATGATGATGCTGCTGATGATGATGACGATGACGATGATGATGATGATGCTGATGATGATGATGATGAGGATGAGGATGAGGATGATGATGATGATGATGATGATGATGATGATGATGATGATGATGAGGATGAGGATGAGGATGAGATGATGATGATGATGATGATGATGATGATGATGATGATGATGATGATGATGATGATGATGATGATGATGCTGCTGATGATGATCGATGGTGATGGTGATGCTGTCGATGATGTCAAGGAGGAGGAGGGAGGAGGAGGAGGAGAGGAGGAGGAGGAGGAGGAGGAGAGGAGGAGGAGGAAGTGAAGGATGGCGGGAGGAACATGAGGAGGACGAGGAGGAGGAGGAGGTGGAGGAGGAGGAGAAGGAGGAGGAGGAGGAGGAGGAGGAGGAGGAGAGGAATGAGTAGGAGGAGGATCAGGAGGTGCCAGGTCAAGCGTGATCGCCGTCCAGAGGCCGAGGGCGTCGCCTGAGCTCCAGCCTACCGTCTGCCAGTCTGCCGCCTGCCAGCCAGTGCCAGCGCCGCCGCGGCTCCACTGCGCCCCGCGGCCTTGCGCGAGGGGGGTCGGGCGCTCTCAGGGCATCCTGCGCTGCGTGCCGAAGCACGGCCACGAGCAAGCGGGTCAAGACGAAGGGCAACGTGAAGGCGGGCACCGGCCCTGGAGATCCTGGCGATGTGCGCGCTGACCGTTCTCGCACGGTGCCGGGCCCTGGGGCCCGCACAGAGCGGTGCAGCTCGAGAGACGCCGTGATTCTCCCCAATATGTTGCACCTTTCTCGTGACGTCGGATCCCCAACTGAGCGCTACGGCGCTGCGCGCCCATCCCCGTAGTCGGGACAGCTCTGCTGAGGCGGCGCCCTCCTCCTCCTCCTCCTCCTCCTCCTCCTCCTCCTCGTGACGTCGGATCTTCGGAGCGAGCTTTGGGGAGCGGCTTGCCGATCGCGGTGCGACGCAGTGCGGCCTGCGTGCTCGGGCCTGGCTAAGGGGTGACGTCCGGGGGGGGGGACTGGCTCGGGGAGGAGGAAGAGGAAAACGAGGAGGAAGAGGAGGAGGAGGAGGAGGGGGAGGAGGAGGAGGGGGAGGAGGAGGAGGAGAAGGAGGAGGAGGAGGAGGAGGAGGAGGAGGGGGGGGAACGTCGGGCTGGACTCGGGGATGGATCGCCGATAGGTCGGCGATAGGCACCCGATGGCGAAACCGCAGGCTCCTGGGCGGGGCGGGCCATCGGGCCCCTCTCGGCGATCCGTGTGCGATTGGGGGTCGATGCCTCTCCCTCTCTGGGCCCATTTCCCCCCTCCCTCAGCGCTGCCCTGGACAAGAGTATGAGCTGCTTCGGCGAGTGCCCCGAAGTGGGGGGTGCAGGCGCGAAGAGCGTCCTTTTTTAAACGAGTTCGAACACATGGCTTCTGAAGGATCTCAAACAAGTTGTTTATACATACCGTGGAGGCCCGACCACAAGGAACCTTCCACAAGAAACACAACCCTGAGACCTCAGGACGTCCACGGACTCTTGGCGTGGGAGCGCCGCGCTCTCCCTCGCAGAGCCCTCGAAAGCCTCGAACCCCCGGGCACCCTGGAGGTGAGCAGGGTACCTCTCGGCAATCGGCCTTCGCTGCACATGCCGTGCGAACACGGACACGAGAAGGCGGGTCACGCACAGGGGGCCCCCTCGCCGAGGAACGTGGGCCCCGTGGAGACTCCCGCAGCGAACGACGTCCCCAGGTGGAGGGCCCAATCACGAGGAACACAAAGGTACCCCTCCACGGTCAGTGGTGTTCTTAACCCTTGTGTCAAAGTGTATGCATGTGTATCGGTTCATACATTGACGTACGTGTGTGTGTATATATATACACATACACATGGAAATGCATACCAACCTCCGTGCAAACACGTTTTCTTTTTCAGCTCAAAAGCGGTCTTCGAACCCGTTCAGACAAAGGGGGTGCCCTCCACAGGCCAGGGCCGTCCTCGAGCCCCGCGCCCGCTGCGCAGGATCTTCTCTGAGCTTCGCGCGGGCCTCGCGTGGCCACGGACGGCCGCCCCCCGCGGAGGTCGAAACGGCAGCCAACAAAAGCCTCACGTGGCGAGGAGGAGGAGGAGGAGGAGGAGGAGGAGGAGGCTTACGACTCTGGGAGACCAGACTGGGCCTGCGTGCGTCAGGCGGGCGCGTGGGGTCGGTGGGCGTGCGTAAATCGTGTGCGGTGGCATCCCATATAACTAGTGATTTGGTGCGTGCCGAAGCGAATTTAGACAGGTCGTTTTGGGAATGGCCGTTCTGGGTATACCTGAGTGGTTACTGCTCGTTTGCGAAAGGAACATTGGGTGCGGAGCCCCGATGCCACGGCGGCGCGCGGCCATCCTCAGGCTCCTGGGTCGATCTAAGGGCTCCTCGGGTCCTCCTCGGGCTCCTTGGCCTGGAGCACGGTTCTTCCTCGGGCCCCTGGGTCTTGGGCTGCCGTGCCAAGCAATGCCGAGCAGCGGCTCCAAGCAGCGCCACTGGACGCGGAGCAGTGCCACGCACCGCGCTGCCTGGCACCGCTCAGAACTGCTTCGAGCAGCCCTGGGCGAGGGCAGACCCCGCAGGTGGCCCGGAGCCTACCGAGCCTCCCCCGCGTGCCCAGCAGGTCGCAGCGACCCGGGCCCCGCACCCCTTGGGAACCCTGGTCGGGCACGGCGGCGGGGCGCCCGCAGCGGGACCGCGCTGCAGAGGACCCCGCCTCGAGGCCCGAGCGGCACCACCGCAGCGCAGGCAGCGGCTGGCGGGCGAGGAGGCGGATGAGGAGGCGCCGGCGGGGCGGGGGCCCACTCACGTCCGGCTGCCCCGACGGCCCTCCCAGCATCGGTTCCGACCGAACCCAGAGCGCGGCGGCGGGAGGTGAGACCCCGACAGCGGCATCGCGCTGGGCTCATTCGACAGCGCGAGGATTTCGGGAGGGGTAGGTAGGTAAGACGCTGACTTGGGACGGGTGTCCGTGTTCTAATCAGTGGGCCACCCTACCTCTAGGGTGGCCGGAAGACGTGGGAAGAGGAAAGAGAGGCCCCCCACGGCGCTCGGGCCGCGTGGGCGGGGATTTCGGGAGAGGAGGGGGGAGGGAGCAGCAGCGTGAGAAGCAGCAGGCGGACGAGGAGGCGGAGGGGGGCGCCCCAAGAGAAGCCCCGCGCGCTGCCCCCGTTTCACTTCCGCGGGCTTCCGCCGCCCTTCCGCCGCCTCCCGCCGAGGAAGAGATAGCAACTCCTTCGATTCTTGAAGGCGAGGCCCTTTCTGGAGCGCTCCAAATGTCGCCTAGCACATGAGCGACGAAAAGAAACGGGTCTCACGCGCGAGGACATGCCGACCTTACTCGGTGGCTTACGCGGGCAGCCAGCGTGGCACACCGCGTGGGAAGAGGGCGCTTGCGCGCGAATGTCTGCGCTATCGGTCCCGTCTTCTTCCGTCGCTCACATGGGGCCTGATTGAGCTGACGGTTCAATGCGCTGAAGGCGGCCCAGTGAGCCGACGGCTCATCGGGCTGGATACAGCTCCGGACCCCCCCCCCGCGTGGTCCTGGGACCTGTGCCGTGCTGCGAGGGTGTCTCGAGCGCCTGGGGCCGACCCCCAGTCCCAGAGCGGTCTGGTGGCATATAGTCCAGTCGGGTCCCAAAGCGGCCCAGAAGGGTTTTCGACTTTTTGCACTTTGCGTGTTGCTGGGTCATCTGTCACACGGGTGGCCCCGACAGCTTGGGGGGATCAGCTGTCCACGCTGTCCACTTGTTGACGTTGATGCTTCTTGAGGTTGAAGTCCATGACAGGGTGACAGGGCGATGGCGAGGAGGAAGATGAGCGGTGGAAAGAAGCCTTTGCTGCGGGGCGCGCGCTCCCTGGTCCACTCTTATCAAACAACTCGAGGTCGTGCAGGGCATAATTCAATCCTGGAGTGCCCGCTCAGTTCCAGGAAGGCTTCCGCGACGAGGATGACGAAGACGTCTGAGCGGGGGCTTCCACCCGCGCATGGCGCAGCTCAAAACGGAAAACGGGACTGGCAGAGCCCGCTGATGCCGCGACCCTGCCTGTAGCCGGAAGCATCGTCATTGGTGCAGGCAAATGAAAAACGTGGCACGAGCCACTCTTCAGGCAACCGCTCGAGCCGAGTGGCGCCCTTCTCCAACTTATGATCAAAAAAAAGTGCCGGACTGCGCTGGCAAACGGGCGGTCCGAGGCATTGGCCTCGACCAGATTCTGTGCTGACCATGGGCCAGTCATCCTCCTCGACGGCGGTCGGACCTGCAGCAGGCCTCGGGGCGACGCGCGGGAGTCGCCTCCGCGACAGGGGGCTGCGGCGATCGCTCGTCAAAACGTCCCACTGGCTCAAGCCTTGCAGGGGGGGGAGAGGAAGGAGGATCGTGTCGGACTAGGAGAGGGCATTGTCAAGGAGGGGTTAGCGAATCAGCTCGCGCAGCCAGTTTTCCTGACTCAAGCTCTGCAGGGGGGGGGGGAGTGGAAGGAGGATCGTGTCGGACTGAAAGGGGACTTTGTGAAGGAGGGGCTGGCGAGTCAGCTCGCGCAACCAGCTCTTCCAGCGCCTCCCGGCGCCGGCGGCGCTGGTGCACCGAGGAGGGCGCCCGGCGGCAGGGGCGGAAATCGATTTCGTTCAGCAAATGTCGTGCACATCCCTTCCTAGGTCCCCACCCCCCTTCCGTCCTACCCGAGAGTTCGGGGGGAGGTGAGAGGCACAAAAAACAAACAAAAAACAAGGTCAGCGTGCAAACGCCACAACGGCATCTGCTGTCGTGGGAGCGGGGGGCATGCGTCAGCCAGCCGCGCCACCCGCCCCAACAACTTTTCTTATAATTAAACGTGTGGCGCGGGCCCCACGCCCCCGCGACCATCTTATCGGGGTGTCCCGTGGACAGCCCCCGAAAAAACATGCCCGCCGCAGGCCAGCCACTCCTGCTCCCCCGGCCGCTCACAGTCATCGTGCTACCATAAGGAACGAACAGTGAGGAACGAAACGGCCTTTCTGGCCACGGCGGGCCTATGCCACACACACACACACAGGTTTCCACGACAGAAGCTTGAGGAACGGCCCGAAAACCCCAGCCCAAAGCGATCCTTCTTTGAGTGTCTTGACTGTCGGACAGGACAGGACATCCGCATCAGGGGCTCCACGCCGAAACGCCCGCCAAGGAGCCGTGGGGTGCGACTTGCAGCATTCCCTGCGGGTGAGATTTGCCGCAGACCCAGACTTCTCATGGGACCGGCAGGGGGCGTACCCCGATGCTCTAAGGAGCGAGCTCCGAGGAGGCCCCGCAAGAGAGGCTCGGTCCCTTGCGAGTGCGAGTCCCTGCGGGTCATTGCGGGGGGAGCAGCTGCTGGCCCTCTCGCGCGCCCACTCCTCGGGGAGCGCGCGGGGCGAGCAGGGCTCCCAAGCAGGGGGGGAGGAAGACGACACGACCACTCCACGGGGGGGCGACGGGCCCCGAGGGGGGGAGCCCCGACCTGGATCGGCGATGCACCGCCGATGGATTGGCGACCTGCCCCCTGGCAGGGGCGGGCCACCGGGCCCTGATCGGCGATCAGTGATCAGTGGGGGTGACCTGGGCGGGGAGGGGGGTGCGCCCCCCCCAACCCCTATGATTATGTTGCTCCCCTCGTGCTTCAGGGCCACACCCCCAAACCAATTTCGAGCACCTAGAACAGTGCCGAAAGAGTATCGAAATAGCGTCGAAACGGTGTCGGACGAGTGTCTCCCAGGGCCCGGCACGTGAAAACCCTCGAGTTTCGTTTTCTTTTTTTCTGGTGGTCGAACTTCTTTCTGGTGGTCAAGGCTAAAGTAGGTTGGAACATTATAACCTTATGAGCTCGTACAGTAGGAGCTCGACCATAAAGAAGCCTTCCACAAGGACACCCAACCCTGAGACCCCAGGGCGTCCATTCCTTCTTGGCGTGGGAACGCCACGCGCTCCATGGCAAGAGCATCGAAGCCCAGGAAACCCAGGGCACCCTGGGGGCAAGCAGGGTGCTTCTTGGCTTGGGTCTCCACTGTGGCCTACCTCTGACTGTCGCCCCCCCCCCCCCCCCCCGCCCCCCCCCCAGGGGACCATCTTCCTCCACCGGGCGCCGTCCGCCGCCCGCACCCCGCCCCTCCGCGGCCCAGGCGCGCTGTGGGACCGCGCGGATCCCGGCGCGCGGACCCTCCAGCAGGCCCCCCCCGCCCGGAGAGCCACTCCCGGCGCGGCACCCGCCACGTGAGCGAGCTCGAAGGCCCGCCGGGTGCCTGCCCTGGTGGCCGAATGCGGTAGAGTCAACCGTATCCTCAGGATGCACGATCGGTGCCTTGGAGGGCCATGTCGACACCCTGCGGGCGGGGCGCGGCCAGCGCAAGTGGCCAGGGATGGGCCGACGGAGCAGGCTGCAGGGGCACTCCAGATTTCGTAATAAAAGGGAGGGGGTCTGGACCCTCCAAGACAAGCCATTTCAGACCTCCCCCGTGGGAGAACCCTCCAAAACATCGTCCCCAGACCCCCCCAGGCCCTCCAAGATAGCCTGGAAGAGACCCCCCCCCGAAAGGAGACCCCCCTCCCTTTATTACGAAATCTGGAGTACCCTTGGGAAGGCCGCCCGTCCTGACCGTGCGGGTGGGCTGCAGGCACGCACGGTGCAGAACTCCTGGCGCGAGAACTCCAGGGGCACTCTCTGGTCGTCGGGCCTGGGGCTCTTCCTTGGGAGCCCCGAGGCTCCCTCAGGGCCCTCAGGGCCTCTCGGGGGAGGAGAACCTTCCGTGGGGAACCTGCCCGCAGGCCAGCTTCTTCCCTAGGTGTGTCTCTTCGTCCCTTTTCCAGTCAGCTCTCATGGGCAGGGCTTCTGAATGGGCTAGTGGGGATACTTTTTTTGTTCGCGAGCGTCGCTGCCTGAGGTGCCTTCGAGGACCTCCCTGCGCGACCTCCACTCGCCCGCGGCGTCGTGCCGCGCGCCGCCAGCGCGCCGTGCCGACTGCGCGGGCCTCGGGGCCGTGGCGGCCAGAAAGGCTGGCAGGGCGGGAGCGCCGGAGCGAAGGCGCAGTCTTGGCAGCCCCGTGCCTACCGATGCCCCAGGAACACCCTCCACCACCACCACCACCGCTGAGGGGCAACGATGGGGGGGGGGGACTGGCATAGGGGGGAAGCGTCGACCTGGAATCGGCGATACATCGCCGACAGATCGGCGCTGGGCCCACGAAAGTGAATCCGTACCTTCCTGGGCAGGTTGGGGCTATCGGGCCCCTATCGGCGATCAATCGGCGATTGTTGTTTTTTTTTTTTTTTGGGGGGGGGGGCGATCCATCGGCGACTGTGGGTCGACGCGTGCCCCCTATCCCTTGCCCCTGAATCGTTGGGACGAAACAGGGGGGATCCTGAGTGGTAAGGTTTCGGGCTGTGCGCACAGCCCTCCCAGCCCCAGCAGGCCTCCACCGGCCCCCCTCCACCACCACCATCGCTGGGATGAGGCAGAGGGGATCCTGAACGGTAAGGCTGCGGGCTGTGCGCAGACAGCCCCCTCCAGCACCGGCAGGCCTCAACCAGCCCCTTGAGCAGTCTGGGGCGGTCACAACACCCTGTCGCCGCCTCCGGCGGACAGCCACGGGGCGCTCCGCGCCCTAGGGTTGAGAGGTTGAGACCGCCTTGGGCTACTGGGGGTCCTGTTGAGGCCAGTCGGGGCCACTTGGGTGGCTGTCTGTGCGCAACCCGAAGCCTTACCGCATGAGAGAGGGGGATTCTGAGGCCTTCCCAAGACTAGAGGCCTCCTAGATGGGGTCGGAGTGGACGGGGTCGGAGGGTCGCGCCGAATCGTCGATACATCGGCGACGCATCGACGATGCATCGGCGACGTCGACGTGAAGCAGATCGGGCTGAACATCGAGCCGCATCGGCGATGCGGCGCGATCCTCCGATCCAATCTAGGAGGCTAGAAAGACCCGCTCTTCATCCAGCTGCGCTCTGAGGTCCAAGAAGTTCGGCAAAGGGGCCCCGAACGTGGCCTCAAAGCGGCGAGAGACCACAGGACCTCTCCTGTTCCTCCAGACGCCTCTGAAGGTCCCCGGAGGCATTCAGAGGCGTCCAGAAGCCTCCAGAGGCCTCACTAGAGATCAGAAAATCCACCCTCATAATAATCACTCCGACACGCGAATCCGTCTAGTACACGCACCCAAAGAAGGAATCGAACAGGGCAGGGTTGTTTAGTAAACGCCCAGGGACATTCAGTAAATAAGTGCCAATTGTCGGGTCCAGGTGGTTTGTCCTCCCTTGCCTCATGGCCCAAAGCGCCTTACGACCCTGACCTTCGACCCTCCTTCCTCCATAACAGGCCACCTCCCCTGCGGGCACGCTACCGCCAGCCGGTCACCAGGTGTGCGGGTATGCCCGCATACCATTGCTGGGATGCGGGTACGCCACTGGCGAAGGCATGGAGCCCGTGCGATGAGACGTGCCCCAGCCGTCGAAAGCCTTCACCATGTTGGGGGACATCGCCGGACACGCGTCCATGTGGAAGCCTGTGCCTGCAGGCATCTCGCGGCGCGCGGCCCCGGCCCCCCAAGACGTGCGGCCGGCGAGATGCAGCTGGTACCGGTGCTGCCCCGTGGTGGGTGGGCGGCACTGGTCGTCGAAGCGCGGCGGACACCATTGCTGCACCTCGCTCCACTGACATACGTCCATCTTGTTGAGCTTCAGTCCGCGGGTGGCGATGCAGGCTTCGATGTTGTTCACCAGCGTCTGCATCTCGCTTCGGGGCACCTTGGCCCTGGCCACAGACTGGGCGATGTTGAGCATCTGCTGCGGCGTGAGTTTGCCCTTGGCCACCTGCTCCGCTGTCTGGTGGGTCAGCAGCGTCATGTAATTTTCCACGGGTCGGGACCTCTGTCTGAAGTGCGAGAAGGCCGCAGCTACGCCGGAGAGGTCTTTCCAGCACACCGTCCTATTCATTCCATGCCTCTCGTGCTGCTCACCCGTCGTGCCCATCATGCGCGACGTCATTATCTCCGCGACGAGGGAGCAAAACTCACTCACTCTTTCCCTAGTCTTCACTCGCGAACAGTCCATGCGCACGCAAGCCCACGTGAGGTTCGCCACGGCCTGAGTCGAGTAGGCCCTGAGCTCTACGGAGCAGTACCGCAGGGCGGCCTCCAGGAAGGCCTGCTCTGGGGACGAGGCCGACGTAGACCCAGCGAGGTCCAGGACCACCAGCGCCCACGCGATGTTCGAGATCCCCTGGTCCTCAAACTTGTCGATGCACTGCGTCGCGATCTCGGCCAGGCTCGACAGCATACCGTCCACCTCGGAGGAAGAAGCACCGACGCAAAAACAGAAGCCTTCGGAGCTCCGCGCGGATCTCTCGGCGCCAGGGATCCCCGGTGCCTGTCCAAGAGGTCCGCGCAGAGCTCCGCACATCTACAGTGGAGGCCAGTCCACAAGAAGCCCAACCCTAAGACCCCAGGGCGTTCACTTTTTGGGGGCGTGGGAGCGTCACGCGCTCCATGGCAGAACCATCGACGCCCAAGAAACCTGGGGCACCCTGGAGGCAAGCAGGGTGCTTCTTGGCATGGGCCTCCACTGTGCATGCATGCAACTTCTTCTCCTCCCTCTTCTCCCTCCTCGAACCTTGGCCGGCCTCGCCGAGCAGCGGCTTCCCCGCGCCCGCAGCTGGCGGTCCCCCTGCCTGGACTCGTACAGCTTCGCGAACGACCACGCCACCATCGACAGCTCCTGCGGCTGGAAGTCGCGCAGGCGCCGGGCGGACGCCTCTGCCAGCGAGACTAGCGCCGCCTGCACCGCGCCGTCGGCCGGGCCCCCGCAGACCCCGGCGACGCGCAGCTGCGCCAGGCCCCACAGGACGTTGGCGAGGCCCTGCGTCGTGAAGTGCTGGAGCTGCTCGGCGCCGCGGAGCTGCGCCACGGACCGCACCACGAACTCCCTCGCGTCGGGCCCGTGGACCTTGAGGCGCGCCATGGCCCAGAGAGAGGTTGCCAGGCACTGCGCCGTCAGCACCGCCGCCTTCCCGACGCAGGCGCGGACGATGGCCTGGGCCGCGCTGCTCACGTGCGGCTTGCCCCCCGCGCAGTCGCCGCCAGCTCCGGGGTAGAGCCGGGCGAGGCTCCAGAGCGTGTTGGTGAGGTCGAGGTCAGAACACTCGGCCAGGACGGTGGGGCACTGGCGGCAGATGTGCAGCATGCACCCCTCGACGCCGCGGGGGTGCGCCGCGGAGCCGGGGTGTGCCCGCGCGCAAAGCTTTCCCAGGGACCACGCGAGTCGCGACAGGTCGCTGCCGCTCCGCAGGCCCCCGATGCCCTGCTGCAGCCGCGCGAGCAGCGGCAGCAGCAGCCTGTTCGGGGTGACCCCGTGGGCCTTCCGTGCCGCCATGTGGAGCACCTCGGCGGTCGTCCCCGCGTCGAGGTAGCGCTGATGCTGGAGGGCCGTCTCGAGCATCCCGTCGGTGGTCTTCATGCACTCCACCCGCCACAATACGTGAAGCTGCTCCTCCGTCCTGACGTGCTCCCGTCTCCTGGCGGTGCCCTCCTCGGGCGTCTCTTCGTCGGACTCTTCGTCGGACTCTTTGTCGCTCTGCCTGGAGGTCGGCCGCTGCGAGTGGAAATGAGGACCCGGGAGGCCCCGCTGCTCGGCCGCCGCAACGGGCATCGCAGGCTCCGAGCTGGTGCGGCGGAGCCCGTGGTTCGGCGACTCGGCGTCGGCACACGCGTCGTAGACGAACGTGTTCCTGACCTGGAAATTCTGGTTGAGCAACGTCCGTGGCGGGGCCATCTGCGCCGCGCCCGCGAGGGCCTGCACCTGGGGGCCTGGCTTGGTGATGGGAGCTCGGGCTGGCATGGGCGGCCCGAGGTCTGGCCTCGGAGAGCAAGCGAAAACGAGCCCCAAATGGCTGCGGAGGAGGAGGAGGAGAAGGAGAAGGAGGAGGAGGAGGAGGAGGAGGAGGAGGAGGAGGAGGAGGAGGCGGAGGAGGAGGAGGAGGAGAGAGAAGGGTGGGTCCAGGCCTTCGACGACCAGCTTTCTAATTTGTCGATGTTTTGCTGGTTTATTTTCTGAAATGTCTGGAACTGGAGGGCGTACCGCTAGATGCCCCAGAGGGGGGGGTCCGGTCCCGTCCAGGACCCCCCTCCTCCCGCTTTCCCCGTTCCGTCGTCCTGGGACCCCCTCTCAGTCCCCCCCCCTTTCCCGATCCGTCGTCTCGGACCCCCCCCCCGTCAATTCAAAAGAGGGGGGGGGGTTTGAACCCCCTCACCCCACCCTCCCTTGGACTCGAAAATCGGACACCCGCCCTCCCCCCCTTTGGCCACGCCGCCCCTTAGCGCCGGAACCTTACACCCTAACCTTACCGCCCTAACCCTGACCCTAACACTCTAACCCTAACACACTAACCCTGACACCTTAACCCTAATATCCTTACCCCAACATCCGACCCTTAACATCCTAACACCCTAACCCTGACACCCTAACCCTACCACCCTAACACCCTAAACCGAACCCTACCGCGCTAAGCCCTAACCCTACCGCCGTAGTCCTAACGCCCGAACCTTAACACCCTACCCCTACCCAGCCGTAACACCCTACGCCGAACACTACGGCCCGAACCCGAGCTCTAAGACCCGAATCGTAACACCCAAGCACTAACGCCAATACCCTAACACCCGACTCCCAACCCTAACACCCTAACCCGAACGCCCTGATTCAAATACCCTAAGACCAACAACCTAACCTGAACATCCTAAGCCTAACACCCTAAACCTACCACCTTAACCGTAACACCCTAACCCCAACACCCTAAACAGACCACCATAACCATAACACCCTAGCCCTGACCCCCAAGCTTGAACCTCTAAGCCCTAATCCCTAAGCTCTAAACCCTGAACCCTAAACCCTTGGCCCTGAGCCTTAAGCCCTAAACCGTATGCCATACGCCAGAAGCCTTAGACCCTAAGCCTTAAGCCCTAAGCCTTAAGCCCTAAGCCGTAAGCCATAAGCCCTAAGCCGTAAGCCAGAAACCTTAAGCCCTAACACCCTAGCCCCAAATTTTAAACCCTAAACCCTGAACCGCTCTGAAGCTTAATCAGACCCTAAGCTCTACGCCCTGAGTCGTAAGGTTTACGCCCTAGGTCCTAAACTCCAAACCCTAAGTCATAAGCCATAAGCGCTTAACTCCTAAGCTGTAAGCCCCAAGCCGCCCTAACGCATTAAGTTTTCCCATCATCAATCCCCAAACCCGCTCCGCGGGTACACACATCTGGTCCGCGTAAGACCCTCTGCAAACACATATGTGGTGCACGTCTGCTGCTCTCGGCATCTCCTTCTAAAGCCTTCAACCCTCACGATCCGATGCAAATAACATGCTTTTCTGCACATCCCCGATCAAAACCCTTCACGATGGAACTCTACACCCCTTCACGATGGACAGCTACACCCGATCTACACCCCCCGAGACGTACCCAGGCTCTTCCCCACGCGAACCGTTTACTTCAATGAACGCTCCATACATGAGAACACGTCGCGAGGACAATCTGCTCCGCTGGACCTCCCAATCGCCTACGACAGTGACAGCAACTGAACACTCCGCACCCCCCCAGGGAGCCGTGAGGTTTCGGCTGGGTCTGCGTACTCGCCCACTCTGCTGAACCTCCCAAGGGCCCACCAAAGTGACGACGGTGGCGCACTTCGCAGCACCCCCGGGAGCCGCGAGATCTCGGCTGGACGCGCGTGCTCCCCCACTCCGCTGGGCCTCCCAGGAACCCCCCAAAATTGAGACAATGTGCGCAGGTTGCTGCCCCCAGGGAGCCGCGCTGTCTCGGCCGCATGCGCGTGCTCCCCCACTCCGTTGGGCCTCCCAGGAGCCCACGGAAGAGGCCCGCAATCGTGCAGTTCGCAGCCCCCCCCAGGGAGCCGCGAAGTCTCGGCCGGATGTGTGTACCCCCCCCACTCCGCCGTGCCTCCCAGGAGCCCACGAAAGTGGCGACAACTGCGCTGTTCGCAGCCACCCAGGGAGCTGCGAAGTCCCGCCTGGGTGTCCGCAGTTCCCGCCTCCGCTGTGCCTCCCAGAAACCCGCGAAAGTGGCGACGGTTACGGAGCTCCCCAAGGAGGTCCGAGGTGTCGGCTGGATGCGCGTACTCCCCGACTCCGCCGTGCCTCCCAGGAGCCTACGGAAGTGGCGACAGTTGCGCTGTTCGCAGCCGCCCAAGGAGCTGCGAGGTCTCGCTGGGTGTGCGTACTCCCCTACCCCGCCGTGCCTCCCAGGAGCCCACGAAATTGGCGACAGCTGCGCTGTTCGCAGCCGACCAGCGAGCTGCGAGGTCCCGGCTGGTTACGTGTATCCCCCGACTCCGCCGTGCCTCCCAGGAGCCCGCGAAAGTGGCTTCATTTGCGCACTTTGCAGTCCTCCAGGGAGCTGCGAGGTCCAGTCTGGGTGTGCATGCTCCCCGACTCCGCTGGACCTCTCAGGAGCCCACGAAAGTGGTGCACATTGCGCAGTTCGCAGCCGCCCAGGGAGCTGCGAGGTCTCGGCTGGGTGTGCGTACACTCCTCTGCTCCGCGGCGCCTCCCAGGAGCCCACGAAAGTGAAAAACGCTGCGCACTTCGCATCCACCCAGGGAGCCGCGAGGTCTCAACTGGGTGCGCGCGGCCCCCGACCCCGCCGTGCCTCCCAGGAGCCCACGAACGGGGAGACAGTGGCGCAGTCTGCAGCCCTCCCAAGGAGCTGCGAGGTCTCGGCTGGGTGCGCGCACTCCACCACTCCGCCCCGCTTCCCAAGGAGCCCGCGAACGTGGCGCCAATTCGCACTTCGCAGCCCTCCCATGGAGCCGCGAGGTCCCGTCTGCATGCGCGTACTCCCCGACTCCGCGGGACTAACAATGGCGCAGTTCGCAGCCACCCAGGGAGCAGTGATGTTCCGTGTGGATGCGCGTGACCCACGACTCCGCTGGACCTCCCGGTTGCCAGCAAAAGTGGCGGCAGCTGAGCAGCTCGCGGCCTCTCGGGGAGCAGCAAGGTGTCTCAAATGGGTGCGCGCGGCCCTGGACTCCGCTGGACCTCCCAGGCGCATGCGAGAGTGGTGATGGTTGCGCGATTCGCAACCACCCAGAAGCAACGATGTCTCGTCTGGGTGCGCGTGGTCCCCGACTAGCCGGACCTCCCAGGAGCCCGCAGCTCGCAGCCACCCAGGGAGCAACGAAGTCTCGCCTGGGTGCGCCCCGACTCCGCTGGACCTCCCAGAGGCCCACGAATATGGCGACAGTTGCGCAGTTCGCAGCCACCCAGGGAGCAACGAACATGGCAGCAGCTGCGCAGTTTGCAACCACAGAGGGAGCAGTGAAGTCCCATATAGGTGCGAGAACTCCCCTACTCCGTCGTGCCTCCCAGGAGCCCGCGGAAGCGGCGACACTTGCGCAGTTCGCAGCCACCCAAGGAGCAGCATGGTCTCAAATGTGTTCGCGTAGTCCGCGACCCCGCCGCGCCTTCCAGGAGCCCACGGAAGCGGCGACAATTGCGCAGTTTGCAGCCCCCCCCCAGGGAACTTCGAGGTCTCGAACGGGTGCGCGTACTCCCTCTCCGCCATGCCTCCCAGGAACCCACGCACATGGCGACAATTGCGCAACTCGCACTCCGCAGCCCCCCCCAACAAAACAACGAAGTCCCGCCTGGATCCGCGTACTCCCCGACGCCGCCGCGCCTCACAGGAGGCCACGGAAGTGGCGACGTTGCGCAGTTCGCAGCCCCCCCCCAGGGAACTTCGAGGTCTCGAATGGGTGCGCGTAATCTCCCACTCCGCCGTGCCTCCCACGAGCCCACGCACACGGCGACAATTGCGCAACTCGCACTCCGTAGCCCCGCCTGGACCCGCGTACTCCCCAACTCCACCGCGGCTCACAGGAGCCCGCGAACGTGTCGCCACTTGCTCAATTCGCAACCACAGAGGGATCTGCGAGGTCTCTGCTGGATCCGCGTGCCTTGCCATGTTTACACCCGACTGCAATGTACGTACCGCAAGTCCGGCCTGGACTCGCACTGTGACGGCACCTTCCGCTTTCCTTCAGTAGAAGCAACTTCTGGGAAGTCGTCATAATATTTACCGCAAGCGTTGCACAAAACGTGAAACCCTGGAGCTGCAGCCAAGCTGCAACCGCCCGGACCTTAACTCAACATGGAGACCTCCCTTCATGCTGCCCCTGGTTCAGTGCTTCCTTCTCCTGCTCCTGCTGCTCCACATCCTGCAACATTTGTCTCCCACCGTCTTGTATAACACTCTTCAGGCGCCTCCTGTACTACAGAAGGAGTCAGCCACAAGGATCGGGTTTAAGGATGCAGGACCCTCGCAACGGCGCGAAACCCCAGAGTGTGCGCGCCCACTCGTGCTGAAGAGGGCGAGAACCGAGAGATGCAGGGTGCCCTTGCGTTTAGGGCCCGTCCTTGACACTGGCCTTGACTGGAATTATCGGGTCGGGCGAAAGGGGGGGATAACAAAGGGGGGGTTTGAGAATCAGCTCACGTAGCTGGTTTTCCCGGCGCCTCCCGGCGCTGGAGGCGGCCATGTGTAGAGAAATGGGCCCCTCGGCGGGGGCGAAACCAGCTGCATGCAGCAAATTTCGTAACCTCCCATTTCCCAATCCCCACCTTTCGTTCGGCCCGAAATTACCCTGGCCCGAGCGCCTCGCCTTGGTCGCCGTGGCCCTCCAGCGGCCGACGCTGCTGGCCGCGCCACTGCTGGCCGTGCCACTGCTGGCCGTGCCACTGCTGGCCGTGCCACTGCTGGACGTGCCACTGCTGCGGCTCCTGCTGCGCGGAGGGAGGAGGAGGAGGAGGAGGAGGAGGAGGAGGAGGAGGAGGAGGAGGAGGAGGAGGAGGGAGGAGGAGGAG